TATATATATATATATTATTTTATTGAAAGATGTGTGATTGAAAATAGGAGACAGAAAAATGTATTTTGGAAATAATACCAAACAAGGGCTTAGTTTCAGGTGAAGATAAGATGACCTTTATTTGTTTGTTTGTATTTATTCTTTTGTATTCTGAGTTGATTAGTTACTGACTATATTAGATAAGGTTAATCTCCAAATATCTTAACGAGAATCTAGTTTGTCAGCTAGAAAATAGTTAGGGTAATTCTCTATAAATGCCTGTACTATCTAACCAATTAATAAATGAAGTATTTTTTTCTCAGTTCCATCGCTGTTTACACTTATACCTCTTTGTGGTAATGCAGTGGACTTCTCGTGGGCCTTTGCTGGAGCTTCTTTTAAGAAATTTAATCTTTTGCTCAAACGTAATGCCGGACAAAATTGAGGGAACAATTGGCTGTGAGCTGCAGGTGAACTACAACAACATTGAGAAGGTAATGCTCCGGTCTTCACAAACATTGGGATACTATTTTCCAGACCTTGGTTTTTTAATAGGAATTCTTTTTTCCCTGGCAAATGTTATAGGTCTTATGGGAGCCTTTTGTAGAACCTTGGAAAGTTCAGTCGAGCATGAGCAGAAAGCATGACGAGAGTGCCCTTTTGAAAAGTTCAATGATGACAGACATCCACCTTGAATCTACATCACAGCTCAACTTGAATATTACTGAGTCCCTTGTTGAGGTATTACATGTTTGGTAGTCTTTTCATAAGAGGAATTAAAACCAGCCCACTCATTAAGGGGTACTCTGATTTTCTGTTTTGGAGGATTCTTGGTGGTTTGAATTGAATTGGTGCACAAATTTATTATGTTGACTAGGTCAGCTGCATATCAAATAGTTACTCAGATTGTCTTTTATGCCCTTCTCATACTTTCTAGTTTCATTATCACTTAATTTAAATTTTCATATTTTGTCTTACCATATAATCATATGCTCAACATCTTAGCTCGTGTGTTCATTCTTTTGATGATGCCTTTTCTTGCTCAGCAACTTGTTTGATAACAAATGTAGTAATAAAGTTATGCAGCATCTGAATTTTATGTATGCGTACAGGTTGCAGTGAACCTGCACCTGATTCAATGCTGTACATTGTGTCATTATGACTTCTAAAATGTTTTGCTACCATTGAATTTCTTTTAGCCAAATACTGGGTAAATTTATCCTTTTAAAGTATGCATTTTACATGTAACGAGTATTTTCCACGAGATAAGAGTTATGCATCACGTATTGCCTTAGAATTCATTATTGAGTAATGATACCAGTGAAATCGTGCTGGTGCATTTGTATTGCTGCCTTTTTCTGCTGCGGTAAAATTTTACACTTCATCGCCAAAATGTTGATATCACTGATGATCTGTCTTTTTTGCTTCAAAAAGGTTGTTTCGAGGGCAATTGAGATGATCAAGGATGCATGGGGCTTTATGGGCATGACAGAAAGTTCGAAGTTCTTAAATTCTCGGATTAGAGAAAATCTAGAAACTGGAAGATATGCTCCATATATACTACAGAACTTGACTACTCTGCCTCTTGTATATAATGTCTGCCAAGGGCAAGTCAGGGCTGATGATATGGATTTGTCCCAGTCAAAATGTGTTCTGCAACCCGGTTCTTCTACTCCAGTTTATGTCAATGAATCTCCTGAGGAACAGCTTTTCCGCTATAGGCCAGTGCAATCTTCTGATCGACTCACTGACAAGCAATTGCTAGAGGCAGCACATCATTATATAATTTTCCAACTTGAGGGTACATCTATTCCGTCTGATCCCATTTCAATGGATCTTGTTGGTCAAAGGTACTTTGAAGTGGATTTTTCAAAATCATCAAATAATGCAGAACTTGGTAGGGACGCAGATATTGCGGTAAGTAATAAAAGAGTTGAAGAAGTTGGTAGAATGGATGTAAACAGAGGATTTATTGTTCCTGTGGTGATTGATGTCTCTGTACAGCGGTATACAAAGTTGATGCGGCTGTATTCAACAGTATGTCAAATTCTGCCTTGTTTGGTGTAGTTTTTGATTCTTTATATCTGCTTTACACGTTCTGCTTTCAGGTTGTTCTTTTGAATGCAACTTCTGTGCCACTTGAACTACGATTTGACATCCCATTTGGTGTCTCTCCAAAGGTAATCTGATTCAACATTAAATTTGATTCATTGTTTCTTCTCTCATTGCAGTTTATTTTTTCTTTTCTTTAGGAGGCAGTGGCGTGGGTGGGTTGGGGGGGGGGGGGGTCTATGGCATGCTTCTGGAGTGTGTTGAAGTAGATTCCTAACCTTCCTTTTTCTTTTTTTTTTTTTTCAGATTCTGGGCCCAATATTTCCTGGTCAAGAGTTTCCTCTTCCTCTTCATTTGGCAGAATCAGGACGCATACGATGGCGTCCTCTCGGTGACACATATCTATGGAGTGAAGCTTATAGCATGTCAAGTATTGTTTCACGTGAAAGCAGGATCAGCTTTTTGCGTTCCTTTGTTTGTTATCCTTCTCATCCAAGCAGTGATGCATTTCGCTGCTGCATTTCTGTGCGCGATCAGTGCTTGCCTTCTACTGCTATGTTAAAGAAAGTTTTGTCCCCATTTGATGTTGACATTGGGAAACATTCTTATAAAAGTAATGATGAATTCTCAAATAAGCTGGAGAGGCCAAAGGATAGGTTTCTACACCAACTAACTTTAACTAGTCCGCTTGTGTTGAAAAACTATCTTCCAGAGGCAATATGTTTGACGTTAGAAAATGCTGGTGTTACGCGTACTGCCTTTCTTTCAGAGGTTGGTAGCTAGTTACTCTGACTAGCTCCAATTTCCATGGTTTAAATTGTGTGCACTTTTTAAATGAATCTGCTTTTTATTCCTCTTTGGACTACAGTTTGTGTTTCTATTTTCAGGTTGAAACTTCTCTCTTTCATGTCGATTCCTCGCACGACCTGGCAGTAATTTTCCAATTGCGAGGATTTAAGCCTTCAATGATCAAGTTTCCACGTGCTGAAACATTTAGTGCATTGGCAAAATTCAGTGGGACGAGATTCTCTGTGTCTGAAGTGATTAAGTTTGATCCTGAATTATTGGATGGTATTTATAATTGCTATTGTGTTACGAATTTGAGCTGTTGCGTGTTAATAATTTGTCTAAAAGTAATCGACATGTTATAAATTGGTCCAGGTCCTTTATTTATTACCATGGAAAAAGTAATGGATGCATTTTCTGGAGCTCGTGAAATACATGTATCTGCTCCATTTTTATTGTATAATTGCACTGGGTTTTCTCTTCGTCTCTTGAGCTCTATCAATGAAATGAAAGGTTATAGCTGCATCCTTCCTTCATGCTATAGTATAGACGAGGAAAACCTACTTTTTGAAAGGAAAGATGGTCTTGGTTTTCTCTGTTCGAATCTGGATAAGCCTGCCACTACAGGTAATACTTGAAGAGTAACTTCCACAAGAATTTACTTTTGCCATAAAATTATATTTTTTAAAGTTCTTTGGCAGACCTTTGAATTCATTTGGTATTTTTCCTAGGTTCAACCAGTGAAACAAATTTGAATTCTCCTGATTTATTGGAAACTGAGAGTAAAAAGGTTGGCGCTTGCTTGTTTTCTCCTGATCCAAATTCATTTTCTGGTGACATTATGGTCAGGCTAAGTAGGTACCTGCCTTCTGTCTTGGAAAGCTATTCCAAGCAATCTTGGTCTTCTCCATTTTCTCTTGTCCCACCAACTGGTTCAGTTAGTGTTCTTATTCCTCAACCATCCATGACTTCTGGGTATTTAGTATCTGTTTCTGCTGTGGCTGCACCATTTTCCGGAGAGACAAAAATCATCACCTTCCAGCACAGGTACATTCTTAACAACCTCACTTTTAGTTAATTATATCAAATGAGCCTACTTATCAATTTATTTCATATCGTTTAAATCCTTGCTTCTTATAATAGTATCCATATTTTAAATTTCAGGTACGTGATAAGTAACGCATGCACCAAAAAATTGTGTTATAAGCAGAAGGGAACTGCTTTTGCTGTTTCACTGGGAGCTGGACGGCATTCCCATATTCAGTGGACCGATACAACAAGGTTTGCTACTTTTTGTCGTTACTAGAAGAAACCTTGATTTTACCTTATCATGCCACCTAGCACCTTAAGGAATTTGTAAGACGCCACTAATTCTTTGGCACATCCCAGTTGCTGAGATTATGATTTCACATTTTAAAGTTATTTTCGTTGCTGTAACTACCAAGGACTGTTAATTTGTTAAGTTGAAGCGTTCGACATGAGGTCTGCCGTACATAGATATGCATATACATAAATTGAACCCTTTAGAATTCTGCATTGAATTCCTTAATTTTGAAAATGACAATTCAAATAGGAAACAGTGAATGTCAATGATGGTTGAAAAATGGCAATCTGTTATAAAGCAAATAATAGGATTGTTTGATTTTAACGTTCCTTTAGCTTTCAACTTTCCTCTCTAATATACCACTTTCTATTTCTGATTCATAAATTCCAGGGAATTATTGATTTCTGTTCGTTTTGATGAACCTGGATGGGAGTGGTCAGGATGCTTCTTGCCGGAGCATCTAGGTGATACTCAAATTAAAATGAGAAATTATATCTCAGGTGCAATCAATATGATACGTGTGGAAGTGCAGAATGCTGATATTTCTATCAGAGAAGAAAAGATTGTTGGAAGCCCCCATGGGAACTCTGGGACAAACTTGATTATTTTATCTGATGATGATACAGGCTTTATGCCATACAGAATTGACAACATGTCTAGGGAGGTGAGTAGATGCTTGAATTGTGCTTAGCATATCATTTTTGAGTAAAAGGAAGACTGTTCTAACAGCTTATGCTTTCCAGAGGTAGTTCAACATGGTATCAAAGCCAGCAAAGATACTAGGTTGAAGTCTTGCCCCCCACACATTTATAAAAATTGTTCACTAGTTTGACCTTTTATCATAATCCATCTTGAACAAAATTTAAATAGATAAATTTGTCCTATTTCTTACAACTATAGCTTTTAGATGAGGTAGTTCAACAAAGATAGTAATTGAATAACTACATTAATTATTATGTTTGCATCAGTGCATCACCAAAAGATTGCACTCTGAATGAGTTTTTGACTCGTGAATATTCCTGGCTAATGTAGCACTCCAAAAAGTTATCCTTGCCATTATTTAGTTGTTTGGCAACTGAGCTCAGGGCAACTTGATTATCTTTCTCAGGTGGGAAAAAATGCAGCCATTCTTAACAAGCTTTTGATGGAAACTGTATAAGATTGCCCAATTACAGAGATTTGCCAAATCTATATTTTTGGAGAGTTTATAGCTGGTAGAATCAGTTAGTCATTGCATATTGTGAAGAATATTATAAATTGTATATAATAAACTTGTTTCTATTACAAAGTAAAAGACCATATTTATAGGGCTATAAATAACTCTAAAAGGAAAGATTGCATAATAATTATACAATCAATTATTAAGAAAAATAATCCCACATTATGGAAAAAATATCATAGAGATTATTCTTTCCATATTTTCAACACATATATTAGGACAGTCTTTATTTGTGCCATTATTTTTGCGTATTTTTAGGAATAGAATAGTTGAACTTGATGTACAAAAAGAACCAAGAGAACGTTTGTGCAATTGCATACGAACGTCTGAAAAAGCACGGCTTGATTTATCAGATTTCTCGAGTTCATTGGGAAAGTATTGTTTGTTTCAGTTATGTAACTATTGTTACTTGCTGCTATAAAAACTTGGGATATTCAATTTTAATGTGCCAAGTTTAGAATGTCCATCACAATTTTTCGGATTGACTCTATTGATGTTTGGGTAGTGGATGTAGTACAATTATTGTTTTCTCTTTGACACATTGTAGAGGTTGCGAATTTACCAGCCAAGATGCGAATCTTTTGAAACATTGGTTCAATCTTACACTTCTGCCCCTTATGCTTGGGATGAACCCTGCTATCCACATCGTCTCACAGTTGAGGTATTATTTACTAATTTCAATGTTTCAAAAAGGACCATACTATTTGTACACCATGGTTGACACCCCGGTGTACAGACCCCATCACAAGAGAGGGGGTCCACGATTTTTTTATTGGTCGTGGGCCCCCTATCTTGTGAGGGGGTTTGTATACTGAGGTGTCAACCCCGGTGTACAAATAGCATTTTCCTTTCAAAAATTAGTCAGCAACAGTTATATTTAAATATTTTTTAAAATTTTGTCAGGTACCTGGTGAACGTGTTTTAGGATCATATGCTCTTGATGACATAAAAGTTCAGTCATTTGTGTACTTACCTGCAACTTCGGAGGTACTATTATTATATGCTTTAGAATAAGAAATAAACATACTAATAATTTGGCTATGCTAAGGTAGCATGCGGTAAATTGCACAATAATAGATTAAGATGGTGTGCACACATCCAAAGGCGTATATGTGCATCCGTTAGGGAATGTGATTGGACACTTAGATGAAGAGGGCAACCTAAAATTTCATGGAATGAGATGTTTTTTTAAATCTAGTTAAGCTTTTGTTATGTAACCATTATATGGTCCTTGACAGAGCAGTGGAGGAAAAATGTCCTCATTTTACAAGGCTTTTGTGAATCGAGAGTTACTTCTCGATTGCCTTTTCATAAACTATGAAGTTATAAAATGTGCTTTGGACTTGAGTTTGTCTTATAGTTGATGATGCCAAGATTAAATGCATTATGTGTCTGATAAGACAAGTGAAAATTACTGATTTTCAGAAAACATAAGAGTTAAGGCAGAGGAAAAGATGATAAGTGTAGGAAATCTCGAATTAATTGGGAATATAATTTGAGAGATTGTTAAAGATCTTATTTACCACAGTTAGAATATTGTAAATAGATTAGAGATTTATTTTCTTTCCTTTTTTATTTTCTTTCCTCGACTATATATAGGAGGCATGTATTGTACATTAGGATATAGAAGAAAACGTGCAGTAATTGTTCTTCCTAGTTTTTCATTCCCGTTCTCATCTTCAATAAGAAAGTGAAGTTGCAAGAGAATAATTAGCATGTCATTTGACTCATTTCCCTGTGTGTGTCCTTTTTCCTATTAACACAAGGCAAACTACAATAACAATATAACTACTAATTGGGCTTATTGATTTTATTCCATATATTCAGTCATGTATGTACAAGTCCAATCCTATCCAGAATAAGAAAACCATATAACGCTATATATTGTTCATGTGTGTATTACAAATTTAAAGATGAAATATTTTATATGGCGTAGAATTATAGTTGTAATTCTATGGTAAGATGGTTGCTAGTAATTTATTGTGCCATTACTATTATGAAGAATATTATAAATTGTATATAATAAACATGTTTCTATTACAAAGTAAAAGATCCTATTTATAGGGTTATAAATAACTCTAAAAGGAAAGATTGCATAATAATTATACAATCAACTATTAAGAAAAATAATCGTACACTATTAGAAAAATATCATGGAGATTATTCTTTTCATATCTTCAAAATTGCTTCTATGTCAACCAAGCCGAACAAATAACTCAAAATTGATAATAATGAAAAATCATCATCCACCAATCTAACCAAACCATCACCAAGACTTGAAGGAGAAATCATATAAGTCAATTTCAATACGGGTTGGAGAGGAAGAAGGAACGCCCATATCTGCAAGTAACCAACGCATCCACTACTAAACCAAAGGAATGCAAATTTCATATCCAAATTAATTGGATGCAAATTTCAAATTCCAGCTCGACAAATACCAAATAAATTGAATGCAAATTTCAAATTTCGGATACACCGAACCAACAACAAATCAAATTCCATATGAACTGGGCATATACTAAACCAAATTCCAGATGAACTGGACCAAATTCCAGATGAACTGAACATATACTAAACCAAATTCCAAATAAATTGGACCAAATTCCAGATTACCAAAAGCTGAAGAAACTCCAAACAAGCTTAAGAGGAGAAAATGCCCACTCCGAACAAAAAAAATCCACAGTAAAATCAAACCAATTAAATAATTGGCCCAATTACTCTAACAGCCCAATAAAAAAAAAACATTGGTAGCCGGATTGGCCGCTCGCAGGAAACGAAATTCAAAGGTTAATTTATTTAGGATCGAAACTACTCTGATACCATGCGAAGAATATTATAAATTGTATATAATAAACTTGTTTATATTATAAAGTAAAAGACCATATTTATAGGGTTATAAATAACTCTAAAAGGAAAGATTGCATAATAATTATACAATCAACTATTAAGGAAAATAATCCTACACTATTAGAAAAATATCATAGAGATTATTCTTTCCATATCTTCAACAACTATATTGCTCCCTAAAGGCATAATCATTTGCATTTGTTAGCCCTGTGCTTTAGCTTTATGTATACAGTAACATGGCATCACTGTGTAATTAATTTTCCATGCAGCCACTTTCTTCTATATGGTTTATAAGTCTCGTTTTCTTTGTTGCAAGTTGAAATATTTTCTCTGTTATACTGACGAATTCTGCCTTCTTTTTTCAGAAGCCTGAAAGAAATTTGCTCATTTCAGTCCATTCTGAAGGAGCTATTAAGGTTCCTTATATATATTTTATATAGAGTGGACGTATGCTTACTTTACATTTTGGTCGTAGTGAAATCTTTCTTTCATTCAGGTTCTTACAATTGTTGATTCAAGTTACCATGTATTGAATGATTTGAAGAGTCTGCATGTTCCTCAGCTGAAAGATAAAAGAAAACCGATTCAGAAGTATGAAACTTCTGTTCGTTACAAGGAAAGGATATCAGTTGACATACCCTTTCTTGGAATCTCTTTGATGAATTCTCATCCTGAGGTATATTTTGTTATTGTAGAAAGTATTACATTTGGAAGGGTAATAGACATGGTCACCCAACTGATTTCATTTCCTCAATTTTCCCATTCTGTCACTAGCTTAACAGATTTTATGATATGGCATACGGTTTCACTTATGTGGCATTTTCAGACATTAGTATGCATACTTGGTATGCCACATTGGCAAATTTGCACTTTTTTATAAAGTGCATTCTGAAACACATTGGCCAAAATCAGAAATGCACATCATAAAATCTGTTATATATGTTAACAGTAACTAATGGAATGGTCAAATTGAAATGAAATTAGAACATTTTATGAAACTTAAATATTTGAAGTTTGGCACTAAAATAGTAAGTTGGGTGACGAATTGTCATTTTTATCCACATTTGTAACTATTATAGGCTAGTCATCGGTCACATTCCACAATCATTGTTAATTGTAGTGCCTGTTTATGTTTTGTAGGAGTTACTCTTTGCATGTGCCAAGAACATAAAAGTTAATTTTGTACAGAGCTTGGATCAACAACAGTTTAACTTACAAGTTTCATCCTTGCAAATTGATAATCAGTTGAATATTACTCCATACCCTGTAATCCTCTCTTTTGACCATGGAAACAAGGGCAATCTGGTCAACCAGGTGAAGTATAAAGAGGATAGTACAAAAATGGCAAGTGGAAGTATGCCCCAAATTGCTTATCATGAACCAGTGTTCTCCTTAGCTGTTGCAAAGTGGAGGAACAAAGATACATTGGTTTCATTTGAACATATTAGCCTCAGGTTTGTATTTGTTCATCAAGCATCCATCTGGAATTCATTTTCCCTTTCACCACTTGCCATATTACTTTTCTTTTTTTATTATAGTTTTCTTTTTCCTTCTTTTTTGTAAAAATAAAAAATAAATTCAAACAACCATAAGGGTGGAGTATTTATTAAAACAGAGAAGAAATAGAACTTGATGTATTGCTCTTTTCTGCAGAATTGCAGATTTTTATCTCGAGATCGAGCAAGAAGTAGTATTGAGATTGTTTGACTTCTTTAAAACCTTATCTTTGAGGTTGGAGAGCAGAATTTTCCAGCACGTGGGCTCCACACAGCATCAATTGTTTCCTGATTTTGAATTTTCTAGGAATGCCCCTGTAAATGTTGGAAAACATGTGTATTCCACTAACATTACAATGCTTAATCAAGACTACAAAAGAAGTTGTTTGCTACCTAAAATGGTCCCAACTGGAGCTCCATGGCAGCAAATTCACCTTCTTGCCAGAAAGCAGAAGAAGATATACGTCGAATCATTTGATATGGCACCAATTAAGTTCACATTGAGGTTAGTAGCCTGCTGGTTCTTGAGAAGATATACAGCTGTTTGCTACCAGTTCTCTTTTTTCTTTCTTACCAATTGTCCTGTTACACCCACAATATATTACCTCTGAAAATGCTTTATTAATTTCTTCTTTCAGCTTTTCCAGCAGTCTGTGGATGCTTAGAAATGGGGTTCTTACATCAGGAGAATCTCTTATCCATGTATGTCCAAACTTCATGAGATAGATAATAATTCTGCAAACATGTGACAGAATTTAAATTTGATCTTCAACAAGACAAAGATTTCATCTCATTCACAGAATAAAATTCATTGAATATTGATTTTCATTGTTAATATAGCTGTAGTAACTGTTGTCGTGTGTTGCTTATTATTTTCGAAGTACTCAGAATGTTACTTTGTGTAGAGAGGTCTTATGGCTCTTGCTGATGTTGAGGGCGCAAAAATTCATCTTAATCAACTGATCCTTTCACACCAGCTAGCTAGCTGGGAATCCATCCAAGAGATTCTTATTAGCCATTACACTCGGCAGTTTCTACATGAGATGTACAAGGTAACCTTTCTTGGCCCAACTTTGGCAAAATATTTTGAGAGCTCCTTTTTGGACGAAAATACGTGCAGAGTGTTCCTTTTCTACAACTACTTGGTTGCTGTATTTCAATACCATCGTTATCATTGAATTGGACTCAATACTTTGCAGGTTTTTGGTTCTGCTGGCGTTATAGGAAATCCTATGGGATTTGCAAGGAGTCTAGGTCTCGGCATCAAAGATTTCCTATCACTTCCTATCTGGAATGTTTTTCAGGTATATTAACCTTAACTGAGATCCATTTTCTGGTTAATTGACTATTTAAACCAATAATTGCTTTTCCAGAGTCCTTCTGGACTTGTTACTGGTGTAGCACAAGGTACCACGAGTCTTCTGAGCAACACAGTGTATGCCATAAGTGATGCTACAAGTCAATTCAGCAAAGCTGCACATAAGGTACTTTTGGATCCATTAACACTTGAATGTGGCTCATCTCGACTCAACTTTAATTAGTCTCCACTTGCAGGGTATTGTTGCATTTACATTTGATGACCAGACTGTGACGAAGATGGAAAAGCAACAAAAGGGAATGTCTTCACATAGTAAAGGCGTCATAAATGAATTCTTAGAGGTACTTTTATTATCTTTTTTGTACCATCAGAAATTTGTGAGCACTTGTGGCATCAGGTATGTTTGGAATAGACACTATTGGTAGGATTAAACAAGAAAAACAAGTTTACATCTTGTTTGTTCTCCTGTGTAATGCTTGTCTAGTTCTATGTACCAAACGTGCCCTTGGGGAAATATCAATTGTAGTGTAGTCTTATTGTATTTGGATTCTTTTGCTAAAATCTAAGAATGTATATATCTCTTCCTTACATGAAGTCACGGGTCAATCCTGTGGCCACAAATAAGGTCTTCTGAAATTTCCTTGTTTCATCCAGGGACTCACTGGTGTTCTCCAATCGCCTATTAAAGGGGCTGAAAAGCATGGCCTTCCTGGATTGTTGTCAGGTATGTTCTTCAAAGTACCGTTTGGATCAAACTGACAGCATTAACAAATAAAATTCTAAAATATTTCATATTATTACATCCAGTCCTATCTAGTACTCCTTTAACCAGTATGTAATAAAGGTGGTCTCATTCCTTCACTTTTTGGTACATCACATCCCTATCGCCCATTCTTTTCCCTCAGGCATAGCTGTAGGTGTAACAGGACTCGTGGCAAGGCCAGCAGCCAGTATTCTTGAAGTCACCGAAAAAACTGCACAAAGTATCAGAAATCGTAGTAGGCTCCACCAGATGGGACATCATCACTTGAGGGTTCGTTTACCGAGGCCTCTAAGTAGAGAATTTCCCCTAAGGCCTTACTCTTGGGAGGAAGCAGTCGCCTCATCTGTATTTACTGAGGCCGACATGAATCTTCAGGATGAGACCTTAGTCATATGCAAGGCACTTAACCCTGGTGGTCAATTCGTAATTATCACCAAAAGACTTGTCTTAGTTGTTAGTTGCTCAAGTTTGAAAGATTTGGGTAAACCTGAGTTTGAAGGGGTTCCTGCAGACCCAAAGTGGGTGATAGAATCAGAAATCGGGTTGGAGAGTGTCATTCATGCCGACAGTGATAAAGAGGTGGTACATATTGTTGGAAGCAGTTCAGATACAACCACCAGACACAACCAACACAATCAGAAAAGAGCAAAGGGAAAGCAGTGGAATATTTTGCATACTCTCCCTCTTTTACAGACTAATTTGGTACTTACATGCCAAGAAGCAGCACAGGAGTTTCTTGAAGTACTTTTGTCTACAATTGAGAAGGAAAAGGAACAAGGATGGGGCTTTGTGTATGTTTTGCATCAGAGCAATATTAAGTAGCTTTTATAAGAAGAAACCAACATAATTTATCCTGCAAATGACGAAATCATCACAAATTTTGGTTGTGTATACAGTCTTTTCATAGCTATGTGATTTGGTCCTTCACCATTGCCACGGTGTTCACGCTTTCATGGCTTGTTTGGTAGGATGGACTAGATTCAACTCGACAGTATTTATTAACATATAAAAAGAAACTACATTTTTGTTCACTGAATTGTTTAGTCCTATACAATGATGTGTATCAGACGTACTCAGTTTTGTACGTGTAATCTATTTATGCAATGTATGAAAGCGACTATCTTGTACTGATTACCTAAGAGGTACAAGGAATAATATTAGAGTTATATTTACAGCATTTGCTGTCGAGTGATCATATTCAGTAGGCGAAAACTTAAAGAAGTGCTTTTTTTTTTTTTTTAAAGGAAACACCATCACAGCCTCGGTGTGTTTAGGCTCCACCAGATCTAGACAAGTGGGGGTTAGGTTTTTCCCCAACTGGTGTATAAAATAGAAATGCATTTTGCATGAAAATGAAGGGCTTAAATCTAACCTCAAGGCCACAAAATGTAATTTTAAAGCAGTGAATGAGGAGGTATTATCTCCTGTACAAACATAATCTGATAAGCAAAAAAGCCTAGAAGCCTCAAACCGCGGGGAGTCCATATCTATCGATTTGTACTAGGCTACAAACATGTCATGGCAAATCAAGAGGACAATACTCCAAATAGCACCGCTGCTCCCATCTCTCAACGGCTAGAGAGTCAACTACCTGATTTCCTTCAAGAAAGATACGAGAAATCGTAGCATAATTGAAAGAAGGGAAGATTACCTATTCAAGAAAATAAGTTTAGCCCATTTCAAAAATAAGAACACAAGTTTGAAATTTTCAAAATCAGATTTTTATTTAAAAAAATTTAAATTTTTATTTATGAAATAATAAATTATTAAATTAATTTATTATTAAATATTTAATTATAATATAATATAATTAACCCATCTCACCTTTACCACCCCTACCGCTCCGGCGACCGTTTCGATCACCGCCCTACTCCGGCGAACTTTCCGACAACCGTTCCGGCGACTATTCCAGCGACCGTTCCGGCGATTATTTCGGTGACCGTTCCGGCGTCGATTTTCCCGGCGACTGCTCCGCTATATTTTTTTGTACGGTTAACATGTTTTTTTTACGGTCACAACCCAGATCACAAGTCACAGCCCATGTCACAAGTCACAGCTCAAGTCATAAGTCAAGAGTCACAACCCAGGTCACAAGTCACAAATCAAGTCACAGGCCATGTCACAAGTCATAAATCAAGTCACAGGCCCCCTCTACGCCACCAACATCCACAACCACCAACACTGCCACCGCTACCTCCACCGCACCACCACCACACAAACATCATCACCACCACAGCACAAAAATTCGTCCAAACCCAACCCAACCGCCAAATCCACTACCACAAACCGCCACCATTCAAACCCACCCAACGCTGCTTCTGCTTCGCCTCTTCGTTACAGCAGCACCGCGGTGACGTCGGTGTCTGACGGAGTGGGTAGATCTGCTTCGCCTCTAGAGAAACACTTCCACAAGGAGATCTGCTTAGCCTCTAGATCGGTGTCTAATGGAGTGGGTAGATCCGAGATTGACGAAGCAGATCNAAATCACAGCCGCCCAAACACCACCACCACTACCACCAACAAAAAAGAAGGCTCAGATACATCATCCATCGTGATACCCCTATCATTCGCAAAATCTCCCTTGACACGTCCATTGGTGTTGATCTTGTAGGATCCCATCGGTGAAACATGCCAGGAAACCAAAATAAGACGTGGAGGCAGTGGTTGGGTGAGAGAAATCCCAACTAAAAGTGCAATATCTAATCCCCTCGCCAATGCAATAATAATATCTGACAATATAGTTTTGGACATTTGAAACATCAATGGAAAAAGGAGCTTGATAGACTTAGGAAGAGGGAGGCAGACAGGTATAAAGATACGCCAGTGCCACGGTGGAGGAAATTTAAGGCCCTCAGATTCTTAGTAAAATTTGATAAAAATTAATGAAATGTGTAGTTAAAATTTTGATAAAAGAAGTCGGTTTCACAAAATGTGTGGTTGAAAATGAAAATGTGCATTAGAAAATGGATGTCGACATGGCTAAATCTTTGGAAGAGATTAATAGAATGTCAGATTGGGAGGACCGATATTGGAAGCGGGGCTCATGAGCGGAGTGGCTCAAAGAGGGTAACAGAAACACCCATACTTCCACCTACATGCATCTTGTGAGTGTGTGTACTCCATGAGGCGGGAGTGCAATGGTCACAAGGATTGCCGAAATCTCCACCGGCGATTCGAAAGACTCCCCGAAACACGATCAACCAATTTCCATTCTCTCAACGTTCGCTAATTCTGTTGTCTCAAGCTGCGCCAAGTAATTAATTAATACTTTAATATTGTTGAATTTCAAATTTTAAATTCAATTTCTTCATCCAGATTAGTGCTTTTAATTTTGATTTGGAGCTACCTGATAATCTCAAGAATCCTCCAACCTATGCCAGGAACTTTGTGAAATTCTGCTCATATAAAGCACTGCACTGCGTCTGGCAATTACACGTCCTAATTATTTGGGAGACGAGGAGTTTCACCGCCTGACGTTTGACATGATGCTTGCATGGGAGGCCCCTGGTGCTGATAGTGAACTGCTAGACAATGTATGACGGAACTGGACCTTTTTCTTAAAACTAAGTTTTGCACAAAACTTTCATGAATTTAAATTCAAAAAACCCAAATACCATATTGCTATAGAGAAATAACTCATTTAAGATGCAACATATGGTTCACTTTTTGTAGCATATGTACATAGACAAACAGATCACCTCTGAGTAGAGGTCTGTGGCACTGGGTAAGTCATAGGAACCATGTTCACTGGAGCACCAGTAACCACTTGTCCAGGAACACCATATGCAATGTTTGCTGGTGCTGAAACATTAACCGGCCCATTCACCGGTGTGCCAACAGCAGAAACAAGGGGCCCTCCTATCGGTTTTCCAATAGTGGGTGCCCCATACATGCCAACTCGTGGACCAGCTGGGGTTTGAGGTGATGATCTATTAGATTTGACAGACGAACCTCCTGCAGGCGAGCCATTAGTTTGACCAGTGACTGGATTCTGGGGCACTGAAAGATCATCAGTGTTGACATTGGTGATGTCATGAATGCTTGATCGCCTCCTATCTTTGTTCATTGAGTTCAAACGATTGTAATACTTCTGAGCATGGCTTGCAACTTGTGTAGGAGTTCTCGTCACAACCAAGTTCCGGGAAATGCTTCTCCAATCGCCTTTTCCATATTTATCCAAGCCAATAAGAAACCGTCTGTTCAGAAATGCATGAATAAGAAAATGTAACAATCGATTAAATACTAACAAATATTACATTCAGGATGGAGCCAAGCGTAACATTCAAGCAAATACTGGCACGAGAAAGTAAAACATCTATGGCTTGCTCCATAAGGCATACTGTGTAGTATTGGAAAATATTAAAGGAAAAAGAAACTAAAATATTGTCCACAGTACTGTCTATTACTATGTTCATATTAGGCAGAATGCTATCAAGATTGTCCTTATAGAAAGGACTACCAAAAAAATAAATCTGAACAATATGCTTAACAATTTGCATCTAATTTCTCCAAGTATTCAAATCCTTTTTACTGTTTAGCATGCAAAATACGTCAGGTCATTTTTCCATTTCCTTTTAATTTCATATCAATGCAAACTTAGTTTAAGTGGCCATTGTTAAAACCATGCCCTCAGAGAAGCAAAGAAAAAGGAACATCTCCAAGATAGCATGTTTGGCTGGTTTTAACCACAGCCAAGCCAAACACCCTCTTGGTCAATATCAAACAACATAATGGACAAAAATTGGGTATGAGAAAAATGCAGCAAATAGTTCAGTTATTTCATCATAGCCAGAGCCAGAAATTTGCGTGCAACAAAATATTAGCATCAATTTCTTGGCAAGTTAGCTTCAAACTTAAATGAACCAATCATCAAGCATTATTATCTGCTAACCCGTATTCCATAACCACCATAAGTCCCTGAAAATTCAACTCTAAGCATATAAATGATAGAAGCTAAAGTCACATGTTGAATTTAGATCAAGAAATGTGATAAATTGGCTCATAAAACAGGGGAGGAAAAAAAAAATCTTTGATGTATCAAATTTTCATGGAGAACAGCTAAATATGATTTGCAAGTTTGAGTTATGTAGATGTAGCATGTGAATAGAAAAAATATCAGTGTTCTCCCTCATTATAATTGTTTTCCTACTGCTCATTGCGCATTAAGATGATAACTGCATCTTTCAACAGAAACAAAAAAATGCTAATCCAACTCAAAGCTTCAGATTTTAGCATTACTACAACCAAAACATGTACAGAGACCAAATGAAGGTCTTGAATCAATCCTAGTGCAGTTTTCTACAAAACTGGTAACTCGTTCATTGAAGCAAGCAGGACAAGACAAAATCCAGAAGCTATAGAAGACATAACTGTGGACTGTTCTTTACAGGAAATAAGATGGAAATAACAACGCAAGAAACAAGTTTTTAGGACACTAAAGATTTCTCATCCAAGGACTTCACATCCAGACAACATTGTTTGAACCATGTTCATATCAGTTGAGAATATTTGAACTCTATGCTTCACAGAAGATATATATTATCATCTAATATTAAGGATCTGGAAGAAGTATGACATCAGCAACTCCAAGAAAAAATCAAGTTGAAGTGCTATTCAAAGAACTAATGGTTGGAGATGTCACTATTGACCAACTAACCATGCAGTGCAGACATATACTTAAGAACTCGAGGTTTAGTGATCAAATAACAAGAAAGATATGAAAAAGGAAAATGAAGAAAAGACATTGCTAAATTTTCAACAAAGCCAGCCAGCCTCCAAGCAATTGTGTTAACATTAAATTATTAGGATACCATTGAAATTTCCATAATCAAGATTTGCATACTCCATACATGATTCTATGTAGAGTAAATTTTCGGTGTAAAATATACACAAGGAGAATGATATTTCACCTGTGTTCATCTTCTGTCCAAGCAATTCCCTTGCGTCGCTCCTGATCTGTCCTGGAAACCTTGCCTCCATTACTGGAATTGCTGTTTAAATGCCCAAAGTTACCACTTTTCTTAAGAATTCCTTCCTCACCAGCATTGCTTGTTGTTCCATCTGAAGAAGAATTATAACAAGGCAACGGCACAAAGCCAGCCTCAATACTATCAACATCGTCAACTAAAAGCTCATAATGATCTTTAACCTCTTCTAGCGATTTTCCAGAAACATTGGCAGCAATTTTCTCCCATCTATCTGAAGATTCCTCAGGATAAGTTGCTATTGCTTTTTCAAATTGCGTATCCTGCTCTCTACTCCATATAGAGCTACTGGATTCATCGGGCAGCATCTAGATTTTTTTTTTTTTGAATTAAATACTGGGTGTTTTATCCTTGAGAAAAATGATAAATGAATCCTGCCAAGTAATCTAAAACAAGAGATGCAATAATTATATCTTAATCTTGGAATTGGGATCTGGGTAATATTAAGACTCCAAAATAACCAAATGAACTTCACTGAAAACCAGTTACCATAAATATAAATAAGAACTTGACGATTCGAGAATTGTAATCTTATGAAACGAAGAGAAGGGCAACAAGTTTAGTTAGAGCATAAAAAATATCCTAAAGCCATGAAACTCAACATGAAATAATAACAATAACAACAATAGAACTTACAATAAATGGCAGTAAAGAAAAGGAATCAGGATGAAAACAGACAACTTTAATTGGTGAAGGTAAATTCAAAAAAGGCCCAGAAGTTTAATATGGATAAAAATGGCATTAAAATCGCCCTCACCTATCTCCACAGAAGCCCTTTAATTAATTGCAGCAGTTTTGACGGCACACCCCTACAGTAAACGATGAATTATACAAAACTTTTACAGTCCAATTCTGAGGCTAATAACTTCTCTTCTCTGCCGTAAGAACCAAAAAACACCACGTACAAATCGTTAGAAAGTGTAAAATGTAAATGTGAAAGTAGAGAAATTCTACAGCTGAAGCAGAAGGTATAAGAGAGAAACCAAAGAAAACCCGACATCAAATCATTTCGATTATTATTATCAAACAGAGAGCCGAGAATTATCAGTTGAATTTCGAATTTATAATGTTGCGAAGATTGTGGTTAGGACTGATGATGAGGATTATCGTAATCTCTTGTTTGGGAAAAGATAAGATAAACAAAGCTTAGATAATTCATTTTTCCAGAAAAAAAATAATAATAATTGGAGTAGGATGGAACTATGCTTAAGTTGCTTTTTTAAGCAAATGTTGAAGTTCTTTTCTTTTAAAATAAGCAAGCAAGGCCAAATCTTTTAACGTAGAGAGTTAACGCGAACTTCTTCTCTCATTCTCGATAGAGCTACTCTTTTTTATCCATCTTTCAATCAACATTCTCGTCAGCGAAAATATTTTTTATTAAGATTTTCAAACAGATACAATGTGTCGTACACGCTTAATTTCGTGAAATTCTATTTGACATGAAAAATATACTACAATCAATCTAACGAGAACTCATGGAGAAGGAATATCGAAGAAGCGAGGTTATAAGCCGCTGCATTCCTAAGACGGAGAATATAATGATAAGAATCACAACTCGTCGTATTTAAAAGAGCTGAAATGTCATAAAAGATAAATGCATTTGGTGCAAAATTACTATAGCTATTAAGCCCATAAATCACCCTAATCAAATCACACTTCACCTGCCAGATATGGAGATCATATTTAGCGAAAGTAAAGCCATAACGAAGAGTAATTCCTTCATCATTGAGCATAGAAATGATCCAAGAATTATCGAGAATACGCAGCAATCACCAACTGCCCTCGTCGCAAATAATCATACATACACCGGTCCATCCTTAATTCAAGTTACTTATTTGAATAATGCTAAATGTACATCTTTTGGTTGACATCTTTGTGTATACTTCATTATAGTTTAAAAAGTGTTGGACTGAAAAGTGTTTTTTTCAAAATTGTCCAATTATACGCCGTCACGTGACACAATAGCAAAAAAAATGTGTATATATAGCATGATTGTACTTATTTTACTAAAATAATGTATGTTATAAAACGTCATTCTTTTTTCGGAATATACAAATTTGGAGCAGATTTGATTGTAATCAAAAGTGAAATCATCGCCTTGATTTTTCGAATCGAGAAATCCACTAGTGATGCATACGGATACAAATGATTCGACGAAGCAAGAATTTCCAAACACATTTGAAATATTTCATTTCTAAGTAGAAGAGCCATTTGCAAGTAAAACTTCACTTTTAGCACTTGAGCTAGACATTAACTTTCATTTGCAAGTAGTGCTCGAATGCTTACGGTAAATTTGCTTTTAAGTAAATTATTTGACCAAATTTGAGTTTCAAATTAATTTTTAACTTAAAAAGTTTCAAAATGTACATTCATGAAATTATGAGCATGTTTTGCTAAGCTTAAAATCTAATTAAAATTGAAAATATAGCCGTTATTGGATCTCACTCGTCTAATAAAAGTCAACAATAATGACTAATTTTTTAATTTTAATGTCTACCGAACCCTTGTAGGCATTTTTCACAAGTCCTAGCTCACTAGCCCAATAAAAACTTTTGGAACTATCTTGTGTCTTTTACCTCTGTCATATTTTGTATTTTATGTGCACACTGCAAAATACAGCAACAATGATTGAACCCTATTTGAGCAATAATTTTTTCAAAATAAATTTTATAAAAGTGAATTTCTTTAAACTGTGTTATTATAAAATAAGAAAAAAAATTTTATCTAAGTGCAAAATTATTAAAAGAATGGAGCTCAAATAGTAAATGCTAAACTATGTCTACTAGAATCTGCTGTGGAGCAAGTCACTTTCTTATCTTAGAATATTTTCTATTTCAAACATTCGATTCTTTCGTCCACTTGGTTAGACTCACAAACAAATAAACCACTATCCTCATTGTACCTATTCTTTTTGGATAATTCTACTTGTACATTATGACATCCATAATGAATGACATAATGTACAAGTGGCAGTACATTATTGGAGGGTGTGCTGGCACACCGGCACACACTCCAATATGATAATTCTACTTGTACATTATGTCATCCATTATGGATGGCATAATATACAAGTAGAATTATCCATAATACAATGGCTTCTGTGGTAAGGTGTATTCCAATAGTAAAGATGAAAATGTCTTATTTTTTGTACTTTCAAGTACCAAGCATGCGCTTAATCTATTCCATTTGAATTATTGCATTTTTAACAAGAAAAATGAAAGATTATCATCAAGTGTGAGAAATTAACAAGAAAAATAAAATCTCAATTATCCTTGCAAGAGGAAATTGCACATTCTTTGACACGTAACAAAATAAAAGATTAGATTTGATCGAGCAATATAAAAGTAAAACATCTACGGGTCAAGACCAGGAGAATGGGTGGTGGGTGCGAACCAAAACGACAGCATTTTAGAGCGGAGCTTGAGAGTGGCAACAGACGAGACGGCGGCGTTGGTGGTGGTTAATGGCAGAGACATTATTTTGTTAGAAGAGAAGAAAGTTAATAGAAGACGACAATTTGGGATTTTGAGAAAAAGGAATCAATGAGAATAAATCCAAATCTTTCTCTTCTTAAAGGTCTTGAATTCCAGCATTTCGATGAGCTTTTAGGTTGAATAAGTGACAATTTGAAGCGAAAATCCAGAAAAAACTTGTTTTTGTGTGGTGTACAGAAACTAACAAAAGCCAGTGGAAAAGATTACAGTAAGTAGATTTATCTAAAATGAAACCAAAATTTTCTTTTTTACAAACAACAGAAATTTTTGATAAAATGTCAATTTAAGCTTCTGGCTTTTATATTGTTTTTTCCATGAACTATGTTTTTTCATTCATAGAATCTGTGGAAGTTGGAATTCTGTTATCTTGTTTTCACTCAAAAAATTCTTGCACTCAATTTTTTTTTCTCAAAAAGGTTTTGTTGTTACTGTATTTTAAAATTATTTACTCCCTTTGCTTTTTCTCGTAATACATTAATTAGGTTAAATTGGTTGTTTGATCTGTACTTTTAATAAATGTTTATAGAAATTGCTTATCTTATACTGCAACAAGAAAAGTTTTAATTATAATAGGTTGATTTATTTTCTAAAGTGATTCTTTGATAATTACATGATCCACTTAGTAACCCCCAAAATATAAAGTATATTGAATTTACCATTGCTGTAATTTTCTCTTTCTAAATAGTTGTATCGAAGTCCCAAATACTTGAGAGAAGAAAGCCAACTAAGAGATGACAAATTTTTGTGATCAAATGAATTTAAACCTAGATCAAGGGCCACCAAATTTCTCAACTTTGACAATTTATCAAAACCTACGATAAAGTTCAACATATCTATATTTATCACTCAAACAAAATAGGAATAATAAAATTGAAGCTACCTAACTAAAGGGAGATGACATCATACCTTCATTCTCAATCCAACCTACTAACTGATTCCTGAACAAAGAGAGATTTCTGAGCTCTTGAAAGGGAAGAAATAGAGAGGCTTTAAAATACCAATCTTCTAATTTCCAATCCCTAGCGGAATCAAGTTTAAGTTAGAGTACTCGTTTAGTTGTGTTGCTGCATTCAACCCCTTGCGATTGACAACAATCGGTTCCAATCTTTAACCACCCATGAAGGCAGAGATCTTCCATCTCGAAAGTTCATATTTACTTTGAGGTGCAAAAGAGCAACCCTTTCTTCCTCCCAACACCCTAAACAATACCATCCATTTAGTAATGAAAGCACCATCATCGATAACATTACCCATAACTTTATTCCCATCTCTATTAATTATCAACACACTGGCTTATCTGAATTATTAGCAACACTGCAAATTCTCTTATATATAGTGCTTGGTGGATTTTCTGCTTTGGAAGCATCCCTTTTTAAAGGAGAAACTTGATGTACTGATTGACTGGAACTACTACCGTTCATTTTTNTCCCTGCTTGACAACCATTAAAACAAAACTATTTTTTCTCAAACTCATTTCAACCACATTCTCTAAATAAAAATCAATATTCCAAGATTTATTTTTTCAAAGAAACTCATTTTAATGATTGTCAATAGGCTCGTTAACTAATTTTCGCCTCATTTTAAGTACATATATTTTTAAAAAAAAAGGTGTATCTGAAATACATGATTTGATTTGCAAATAATTTTATGTCGATCTAATACGAACATTATGACATCACGTTCCCTGGTAGCATTGGTCATGAACCACTCCCATAAACATCGTGAAAAACTCGCAAAGAACGGAATTGCAGCCATATGCAAAGATATTTCACATTGAAAAAAAGAACCTGACGATACAATGCAAGTAGTCTATTTAATCAAATTCCCGAACAGACGTGTAAAGTTAGCACGCGTGTTGCAAAAGCAGTCGCGCCCATTTGCAAAATGCGAAGTGCCAACTAGCAAGCTTCCCTAAAATGCATCAAGAAAGACCATACACCAACCCTTCACAAGTAGACTGAAATTTCTTCATACCAAACTCCATGGTTAAAATTCTATATTTGAAACAAGACATGGGCAAAAGGGCACATCAGTGTAAAATATCCAATACATGCAAGATTGTAATAATCAATACACTGCATGCAATAACTGCTTAGTTTCAACCATATGAGATTTGCACAAGACAAGAACGGTTAAATTTGCGTATGCATCAGTAAGTGTTAAAAAGGGAAGAATGAAAACAACTACCACCAAGAAAATTGTCCTCACTTCGATAGACCTTTCAGACCCTGCATGAAAAGAAGCAGAGGAAGCACAGAAATGAAAATGAAATAATCAATTGCCAGAAAAAGTTAAATGTTTTAATGATTATTATAACAATATGCAAACTTGAAACCACCAAATGCTGGAAAACCAATATATATATATATGATTCTGAGTCTTAGCATGAAAAATCTAACTGTACTATAAATTTATCAAATCAATTTTTTGCAAAACAAAAGCTGGATTCATCCAAGGAGGCATTTTAATTCAGAAATTGAATCCAAAAAATGTTTCTCTAAAGTTTAAACTTCATTACCATTATAAATGAAACCACTTATGAGTGAATGAAAAATAGTTCATGCACTGATTCTAGCACTGGAATCCAGGTCATGGAAATTTAATGGAAAACCCAGCATTTATATTAACATTTCATTCAGCCAATCTAATACTAAGTTCAAATTTCAGAAATTCCAAATTAGCATCTCTCATGGACTGATAACAAGAAAGGGAGAAGGTAATAACAGAGGTAAAACAATATTGCTATTCATGACTAACAAATCACCTTGTCAACTTGGGGGAAAAAAAAAGATAGAAACTTTACCATTTGATGATTGAACCAAATAGAAAATGCTGCATAATAGGAACCTTCTCCAAAACTTCCACTTTATACATCTTGAGCATCCCGCTGTTCACTTTATTCCAAGTAGGAACAACACTAATGTCATCCAACAATGGTGAGTGTTCAGCAAATAAACCCTTCTTCGCCTTCTTCACAAATACAATACATGAAAGATACAAATACTCATTTGAGAAGTTCTCCAAAATGTCATCATTATGAATTGACTTAGGCTTCATATACTTGTGGTCAATCAACTGTGATGACCCAAATATAAATGGCAAGAAATGATAGTCATCAAGTCCCCACACACCATGTGATCCCGCAGGCTCTAAAGAGTATGTAAGTTGCAATTTTCTCATCAGATCCATGTACTTGACAAAGACTCTTGCAACCAATGCCTGATAATCCTCTTCTTTTACAATGCCCAATCTTGCTAAACAATACAACCACGCTGCAAAATTCGTCTCGTGGCCAGTACCTATTTGATAAAAAGTCAAAACAGAAAATAAATTGTTACCTTTGTAACGAGCAACAAGATCAAGAGTAGTATAGAGTCTACCATCATCAAGAGACCATTATTTATTAAGTGATGAACAGCAAAAAAATAAAAAAAGCTTTATTCCCAATAAATACAAGTCATATCATAAATACACATATCTGAGCATAAGGATGCAACTTATTCATAATTTTGATACTGAAGATTGGAAGGTATTCAATTGAGCACTTGTGAAATCTACATTCTGCTGAGATGACAATCTTCAATTGGAGTGTAGAGATAGAGATGGGTATACGAGATGTTTCAAAGTTTGCTTCTTCCTCATTATTTAGATATGATAGGAACCTCTAGTGCCTCTGAAAGTTAAAAAATTTATCCCATGGTCAAACTGAATCTGTGAATTACTCACTAACATTTCGAATCAAATTTATATCTCAAGATTCAGTCAACTAGAAAAAATCTTATATCTCAAGATTCAGTCAACTAGAAAAAATCTTAAAGCTTTCCAAATGGAATCTACAAGTTACGGGAATTTTGCCTTCTGGGAACTGCTTGCAGAGTACAAGCAAAATTACCAAATATAACTATTAAAGGTTAATTATTCTTGGCTATTTGTTATGAAATGAAAGTTTTTTTTCAAGTGATTCATCTTAGGCCACTTTATTGTGCGTGTAGAAATTTTTTATTTTTCCTTTTAAGACTTCCAAGTCATCTTAGTTAGTTACTCTATGTTCGATTAGCTGGACAAACAACATGGTCTTATTTACTCAAAGGTACTTTACAATAACAAATAAGAAAAAGACGTCTTAGTATAACTATGTATATGCCTTTTAAGCATTCAAGGGAAGGCAAATTTCCTTACACGAGATAGTTTCTATTTGAAAAAGGCATCTAAAGTCAATTGATTCTTTGAATGACTCATGCTCCTAGTTCTAGATAAACAAACGTGCATAAAATCCAAGAGTTATCAAGTAATTGTGATATGAGAATAATGAAAAAATGTATAACTGATGACCTATATTTAGAATGGTGATGTAAACCACATGAATTGTGTCTTGGAAGTAGTCTTCGGCACAACATAAATCCTCATTCATTTTATTTGATGATTTACATTTAAACGTGATTTTTTTGGAAACTGTGTATCACTCCACACTGTTAAGTTTACACAAAAGAAGGATTCAGGATGAACAATACGTTAGCGAATCTTCTCAAAGTGAAATTAGGCATCCTAATAAACATGCCTGGCTGTGATGGTGTTAAAAAAAAAAAATTCAAGATGTAATAAAGAAAAAGACATATGCACCGTAATCAATGCGGCTAGAGTTGCCAAAGCTATCAGTGAAATAAGGCACGAGTTCCACAGCGGCACCGTGAAGATCCGGCGGTAGGAATTTCAGCATAAAGGACTCAGCATCTGAGCTCATTCGCTCGTGCCACGTGCGATACGCAACGTTCCCATAGCGAGAGGATTGGAGGGCCGGTGGGATTTCATCAACATAGTCACTCAGATTCAGGAGAATGGAAACGATAACTTCGACAGTGGAGGAAACATGGCAGGGATCTGAAAGCTTGCGGGATTTGACCGACTCAGATAGTGAAACAACGAATCCGAGAAAATTGTGAAAAACGGGAGAGGAGTGGAACTGAACGATGTCGTCTTGGGAATGGATTACTTTGGAAGGGGTGGTGAAGTGGTAGGGAGGGGAAAGGAGGTCCACCTTTTGGGGCTGTGGCACCGGAGTACGGATGATGGCCTCTTTGGTGTTGGTGGGTGGATTGAGAAGGTTGACGGCGGGGAACCGGATGGGGATGTAAGAAGGGGTGGCGGATATATCCGGCGGAGGGGGGAAACAAGTGGGTCCACCGCAGCTGGCGCAGGTTGTGGGTGGTTGTGAGAGGTTTGATTGCTCTTGGTGGTGGTGGTGGTGGCGGCGATCGTGTGGCGGTTCCATTTTCAATAGTTGAGATGTGAGAGCAGACCGGTGTAGAATGTTGTAATGTGGACTCAAGAAAATGAAAGTGAGTTTTAGATGTAACGTGTTACATATACATAGCGATGAAACAATTTTCAACAACGGTAAAACTATAATTTTCAACTTACATAACAAAGATATCCGACTTGTCCCCTACACGTCTCTTCGAACATAATTTTTCTATACGAAATCACTAATGTTAAGTGGAATGAGTTGTTCATCTACTCGTCAATTCGACTAACGTCTAACGTAGAGCAGTGATTTGAACATGCAAGTCCCTTGTTGGCTCATGAGCAAGCTAACGAGCTCATGGGACAAGTCGAGCCATGCTTTGTTAAACGAGCCGAGCACAATAGTAGACAAAGAGAAATGATTCAATGAGTTCGTGAGAAACATTCTTTGGTAATAATCCTTTCTCCTTCAACAAAGGTAAAATTATAGTTCCAACTATTCGCTCCTTCGAAGATAAACACATTGATTTAAGGTTTAAATGCCAGTAGATATTACAACAAGAAGACATTTATTGTATGGGGGCTACTTGCTTCAACTTCGCTTGTAATATTGCCCCCGTTTCATCTGCTATGCTTTTCTTCTTAGTGGCGACCTGCATAAAATTAAGGGCAGGTTACAGAACGAAAGCATCGAGGGTGAAAAAAAAACGTCCAATAGAATAATGTTTGTTAAAAAGAAAAGAGAGAGAACTTTGTTCTCAAATCGCACATTAAGTGCCTGTTTGGCAAGACTTTTGAGAAGTAAAAATTGCTTCTGAATTAAGAAGCTATTTTTGAATCTGTTTAGATAATTTTTTGAAAGTGTTTTGTTAGGTTAGAAGAGTTTTTAAAGGAAACTTGTCTAAGGTAACTTTACTCGGGAAATTCTTCCACAAGAAAGAGAAGCTCTGCCTAACGGTTCGGACAAACCTGTTGACAATAGTAAGTGAACTGAAAATGACATTTTAGTACAGTAACCAACTCCTGCTTGCTTCAATTTAATTCGACTGCAAAGCTATTTGATATTTGAGATTTGAATTTACTCCTACTAGGACATTGCCTTGATAGCAGAAAAAGTCTCCTGTTGGTTATATTTGGATGACATTTTAAACTCCAAAGCCAATGGAAATGTTACATCAAA